GGCTGAGGAGTGTGGTCAGTATTCTGGACAGTCATGTTCTTAGCTAGAGAAGTTATAATACTATAGATGGGGAAGTATATATTGAGGAACAACTAGCAGTCTCCATTTGGGGGTGATCTCTAAAGGAAATGAGGGAATGGATTGTACAGAGCTGAAACGCACTGAATGTCTACTATAAGGCCTGTCCTTTGTGTGTCCAGTCCTTTCCTTCTATTGCTGTGACCTAACTGTCCATTTACGTGTCTGTCATCATCTTTCCTGAATCCCCATCATGCTGGGATCAAGGCACCTCTGGTTCAGTCTGTTGCCAGCTCATAGTCTAGAACTGGAACTCATTAGAGACTCAGGGAATGTCTATGGAATTGAACTGAGGTGGTAATAGGTATTCCTTGATAAACTACCATTAATTCATAATCAGATCCTCTATCCAGCATCTATTATATGCCAGGGCCTGGGGAGTTAGTGTCTTTTCATCAGATAAAAAGGCATAGGCCTTTCATTCAGCGAACTCATGGCTAGAAGGATCTCCTGTGCTCCAGGGATATCTTTGTCTGAAAAACCAGTGCTGTTCAGCTCAGCCAAAACTCTCTTCCTTAGGCACTGACAACATACCGACACATTCTAGCTCTTAGTGTCTCTTCTAAGACTACCATAGATGTGGTCCCCTGCATTTGTGCTTTGGGCCAGCTCAGTGTCACTGTCCCTTAGTCTGGCAACAGCATGTTGCCATCCATTTGAGGAACATTCGTCTCCTACTCTCTAAGACCCTATTGGGACTGTTGGTAACAGTGCAGTGCCTCTAACCTCCTGGAAAGAGGGGATGTGACAGGCTGGCCATTTGAAGAGCTCTCTCCCTCTGGACCAGAATCTTCAAGGCAAGGCTAATAAGATTTAATTTGCAGAATTTTAGATCCCAAGAGGTAAAGGTGCAGATTTAGATTAGGGCTGACAATAACTTTATTTACCAAAAGGGAGAAACTGTATTCCCTTGGTACTACTCCCATCATATCTTCTTGACCCCTATTAAAAAAAGAAGCCACCTGCCTCCCCTCCTATGTAACTCATTCTGGTGGACCTTAATGCCAGCTGTGATTCCATTCCTCTATTTCCATCTACTTCTCCTCATGAGTCTCTCTCCTCAGCTGTCAAATGTACTCAATATGGCACAATGCATAGTGGATATCTGTCTTTTTCTGGATAGAAACAAAGTCTCTATCCTGAGCTATAGAGGCTTTGTAGCTGCCTGCTTCTTGGGAAGGAGGAACAATTGAGTAAGGTCTTGGTGGGTCAGTAGGTGCTCCTGGAGAGGCATTTGGGCAAAGAACTGGAATCCTCCCTTCCGTGGTGGTGATGGGATGAGACTGTGGAGTCACTTGTTCCTGTCTTGCAGAGCTGAGACTGGCTTTCCAGCATCAGCTTCCATTCTGAGTTCTCTGCAGTCTTCCAATACAGTACCTTTTGCTTAACTTATTCAAAGTTATTTTCTGCTGCTGGAAGCAAGGCAATATGCAGCTTCTTAAAAAGCAAACAAAGAGACAACAACAACAAAAACAACTAAAAACAAAATACCTCTCTTGACCCTGACCTCTTCCCAAATGACACTTTTTTTTTTCTTTTCCCCTTTATGGCCATACTTAGGAGTTGTCTAGGCATGCACCATCTCTGAGTCTTTTCTCCAATGCATCCCTCAACCCACTCCGGGGGCTTCTGCCTCCTTCAACTTACTGAAGCTGCATGTTCTAGGTGTCCTGGGTCACCACAATGCCTGGCTCATCACATTTTCTTCTGCCCTTTCTCACTGCTCTTTTTCAGTTCTTGCCACTTGGTTTCTCACAGCTGAGTTTTAAACCGTCCTCTCACTCTATTCTTCCCCTTAAGATCTCACTTACACTTGGGGCTGGGTACCCACGTGCCCATGATACTCAGACCTCCTGGGAAACTCCGGTCCTATGACTGCAATCTGCTTCTCCAAGTGGTGTCTCCAACATCCCAGTGTGCCCCCACTGAGCTCTTGAGTTCTGAGCGCGACCCATGTTTGCTTCTGTTCTGTCATGGTCAGCAAATGGATCTTGGCCCATGTGATCCTCAAGCCAGGGCCGTCTCTCTCTACTAAAGCAATCTACAAAGCCCTGTCTCTCTCAACCCCCATTCCATAATCCTAGCTTGTACCTCTAGAACCTGACAAGGAGGGGTTTGGTAAATATTTGATGAAATGTCTGATAGCAGTGAGCACACTCCACAGAACATTTCACAACCACCGTTTTCACCCTGTGAGATAGGTGGGTAGGTATAATCACTATAGATGAAGAAACCAATGACCAGAGAGATGAACAATTATACTTGGGCGTGGGATAGCAAGGCCAGTAAATACATGGAGAAGTTAGCATTGAAATTCACATCTGAGTCTCCATCCTGAGCTCTCCCTGGGCTACTGCTTCAGCCAGGGGAGCTCTTTGCCAAGCCACAATGTAAGAAGGGGACCAGTGGGCCAAGGTCCAAGGCCAAGGCAATACCTGGAGACCCCAGTGGAACAGTTCACCCAACATGTCTATGATTATCCAACTAGGCTTCTTGAAGCATATTCAGTGAAGTTCTTGGAGGGCTCTGAGCTGTGAGTTCCATGTTTGATATATGGGTCTGGCACCAACTTTCAATGTAGTTACACATATCCTATCTGTTCTTGGAGCTCAGTGGACTTCTTCAAAAAGGGAATATAGAATATTACGCAGCACTAAAAAACGACAAATCATGGAATTTGCAGGGAAATGGATGGCACTAGAGCAGATTATGCTTAGTGAAGCTAGCCAATCCCTAAAAAACAAATACCAAATGTCTTCTTT